CATGAAATCCCAGGAGAAGGAGAAACTAAATCATAGCCTGCAATAATTAAATTCAAGAGTTACATATAGCATTAAGCAGCAAGAGAGGAGTAATGTTACATATAGCAGTAAAATATACTAGATATTCCTAGATTGCTCTGCCCATTATAAACAGCAACTTCACTGAACATTCTTCAAATATTCAGAAACATATTTATAACAAAATATATGAATTCCTTTTCTTTTTGAAATCAATTCTTCTTAAAAAAAAAAAAAATCACTTCTAATATTGAGGGGGAAATCATTTGCTAAGGCAAGTGTGCTGCATTCTGGTAACCAAACCAAATAATTTACTTTCCCAGAGGCAGCTGGCAAAACTATGTCACACAGAGAGCATCCTGTGATGGGAGCAGGCAGGAATGTAAACCTCAGCCTGGTTGTTTATTAGGAGAGAGTTCAGCAGTACTTGGAGAGCAGTTACCTGAAAGCAATTCCGAGGTAATGGTTTGCTATTCTGGAGCGCATCGTTATGAGTTTGTTCACAAGCAACACAAATATTTACGTTTCAAGTAGCAAAATATTTGGTTAAGCGGGAGCAGAACAGAAAACTCAAACACATCGTTCACCTTTTACCCTAAATATTTCATGTCAAAAGCCTAAAACGTTTGCTTTTGGGGTAAAAAGGAAAATCTCTTTAGTTTTTCTGCAGGTCACACTTTACTAAACTTTGAGGTTTTTTAAGAAATACGTTTCTATGGGTGCTCAGGGTGAGCCTTTTTACCTCTGTTGCACTTGAGGACACAGATATTTCAATACAAAAACGAGCTGTGAGGAGTTTTAAAAGAGATTCTACACTCATAGCTGCTGTGTCAACAATAACTGTGCTGTGTAAAAGGAGCAGAGAAGGAAAATTGAAGAGAAAAAGTGCTGAGTTTCACAAACCAGGTCAGTGACAGGGCCAGCAGCAAGGCTTGAGGGCATCTACCATCTCCCAGGTGCTAAGTCACTAAAGCCAATCCTAAATTACCAAGCTATTCCTAACTCAGAGGAACAACTACACGCTGGGAAAAGTAATTTTAAAGCTTGATTTATATTTAACATTAGGATATTCAATTAATTCAATACTAAGATATATTTAACAATTTATATTCAACATTATTCCTGCATTAAGAGCTTCAAAAGCCTCGGAGCTTATTCAAAAGAAGCACCATCAGAACTAAACTATTGATGCTCAGAAATAACAGACGCTGAAAACAAAAACTCTACCAACACCCAAGCCTCCTTAAGCTCAGATTTAGGCACAGTAACACCTAAGCAACCTCCCTCAATCCTCCTCCAACCTATTTTTATGTTTTCCTATATTTTACTCAGGATAGAATTAACTTTGTGTGCTCAAACCCTTCATAAAAGTACATAAAAACTACACTTGCTTTAAAATAAAGCTATTTGGAAGTATTAAAAAACCCAAGGTTTTTGCTTACCTTACAGTAAAAGCAGCAAATAAATTGTCCTTTTCCCAGCCATATTTTTTACATAAATGCTTCTTTCTTTATTCCAGTTCTTCTTCCTAGCTAGTTTATTCAATTTTTCCTAACACATTTTCAATTGTTACCACGCACACATTAAAAAATAAAATTAATAAAACAGAATAAAACTCAGCATTTAGGGCTGTTTGAGCTCTTGGTTTTATGGTTTTCCTGTTGGCAGAGCCCTGGATTCTGAAGGTAGAGAGACATTATTATTTGGATATAACATTTTTGTGCGTTTTTTATGCATTTTTGTATACTAGATTGAGATTTTTTTTTTCTCTCAAGAGTTTTCTGTTAGAGCTTTAGTTGAAAATAAAGGCCTTGTATATTGAAAATATATAAAGCTTTTTATGGTAATGAAAATTAAACCTCATAGGTTTTGACCTGCTTTGCCTTCTGGTATGAAATCAATAATATATTGTAAGTAGCTTGTGCTCAGTTCTTTGTTTTTGTAGCATCAGCATAAAATTGGTACATTAAAAATTCTGTTGCTGTGTACGAGGAACTCTTTATATTTAATGTACTGAGGGGAGTTACAGGCTCACATAGGAAATAAAGCTCTAGCAAAAGGCAGACAGGGTGTTTTGCCATAAAACAAATAAAAATAAATGCTGGAGTAACAAGGACTGAGGTTTTAAGGAGCTTTTTTAGTTGTTGGTTTCTCCCTCAAATACATTTACTGGCACTACGAGTGCTAAGCCTCTCTGAAGTGAGAATTTTTTTAGTGATACTAAATGACTAATTGTGCTTTTATGATCAATTATTGAAGCCTCCTTGAGAGAGGAGAGCTCCTTAAACAACAACTGGTTTACAAGGCAGTGTCTGGGTCCTGATATGGAATAAAGCAGCTTTTCCTCCCGTGGCTTCTTGTGAAAAGAAACCTGTGGGAAGGGTTTGATTTTCAAACCTAATGCTCTTTATTGCCTGTTTGCAGGATGATCTTGTTGAGAGACTGGTTTATCTGCCTTGTTTGTTTTTCCCCTTGTATTTTTGTGCCTCTTTTTCAGCTATAAGTCCCAAATCAGAACAAAAAGTGGTTTTGCTCAGGAGATTCAGATTCAAAGTGCTCTTTGAGCTCTCCTGATGAATGAACTGTGGGTTTTTCTACTTACTATGACAATAAGCTGCTTAAATCACTGAAACCATGTGAAATAAGTTTATATGGGGAGTGCTGGAGAACAGGATTCATAAAGAGTCAGCACAAAGCTGTGTCCCTGCTGTGCCATAACAGTTCTGGAACAGAATAGAGCTTCTGGAGGTGTTTTGGGTGCTGGGGAGTGGGTTTGTAGTGTTGGGGGACAGCTCTAGCTCCAGGAGGAAGAGGGGGGTGAAAGAAATAATCTGATATACAAAAAAAAAAAAAATAGAAATTATGTAAAGGGTTTCTCTATGTGCTTCTGCTAGCTGAGGTACAAGAACAAGGTACTGGATGTTGGGCAGGCTTTTGGGACGTTGGATTTATTAAGATTTAAGGTTTAAAAGAGTGTGTTTTCTGAAAGGATTTATCATCCAAATGTTTGAAAGTGGGAGAGCACCAGGGAAGACACCAGAAAAGTGGTTGGTCTGTGGCCCGTGAGGGTCTCTACTGATGTTTGTATTCAGGAGTTGTAGATTGAACCTGCTCCAGATTTAAACTTGGGTCTGCCAGGACCGGTACAGGACCCCCAGCCCCAGCTCTGAGGAGCTTCCTGAAGGGGCTGCAGGTACAGTGGGGGTTGTGGAACAGCTTGTCTGAGATGATGGAGAGGAGATTTTGCATCCACCACATCCCCCCTGCTCCTCTCCGTGCATCCCAGCTCCCGGAATTCCCATGGGAGGCCGGGTACTGAGCACAGGGGGTGACAACACCTCTCCCCCTCCTGGTTCCTGATGCATTGGTTCCATCAAAGCTGAGTAGGATGTTGGGAATTCTGCAGCAGAGCTCGGGACATCTCCTGTCAGGCTGGTAATGCAGGGAGACAAGCTCGGTGCTGCCTGGCATTCCATGCGCTTCCCTCCATCGATCCCTGTCCTGAAAGCACTGAAACCACCAGCAGGTTTGACCAACTCCGTGGGGAAAAAGTTCTGAGGGGATCTGCTCTTAAAGCAGGGATAGGTGGAGCTGCTCTGCAGGAACTGTTTCGTTCACTAATAATGTCTGATTTTTGTTATTGCTGGTCTGTATTGGATGAATTTGCTGCTTAAAACGTTGTGTTACAGAGAGAAAAGCTGTTCTAGGAGAGGAGGAGCCAAGTACTGCTCTTGTTCCCATCTGAGCCTGGGAGGGGCAGATAAAACTTTAATGGAACTGGATGCAGAAGGGTAATTTTTATCCGTGTAATTATCTTTGGTGTCAGTTTGAATCCAAGCTTTGATCTTTGTCCAGTGCTTGTTGTCTTTCTAGAAATGCTTGCACAGCTCTGTCATGAACAGGTAAGGCAATAAATTCCTATAGAGCTTCCTAGTGTTGTGCCCCTCGTTAAGGACTTCACAAAAATTGCTGTCTTTTGTGAAAGAGCAGAATATTCTGAGCTGGAGGGGACCACAAGGATCACTGAGTCCAGTTCCTGGCTCTGCACAGGGTTTATTTTCATCCCTGGAGAGAGAAAGAACAGCTATCCCTGATTTATGGCAAAGTCTACAGGAATTATGTGTAGATGGGGTTACACAGAGGGAGAGAGAGCTCGAAACTGGAGTCTGATGTCCCAGAGCACAGGCTGGCAGCTCTTTCTCTTAGGATTTAAAAACACTTTCATAACTGTTCCTGAGTGGAAGAGACTTTGTCGTGTATTCCAGAGCTTTCCTTTGGCACCAGGATGGGTAAAGGTGTTTGATTTGCCACCCCCTGTGCATGACAGAGGTTTCCTTGTGAGGATAGAAAGGAATATCTGAGATAATTTTTAAAACTTGCCCCCTTCTTTTTGACTGCACTGGGGTGAAGCTGAAGATGGGCTTTAAAGGTCTCTCAGGCTGCCTAAAAATGCCCTTTTGGAGTGAGATATAAGTTGCACCCACTAAATGTAGACAACCAATTTCTGCTTGATTTGGCTTTTCGCTCATCAGTGTAAAATTAAATGCTTTTTTTGGGGAATTTTTCCCTCTCCTAGAAACTCCAAAAGAAAACCACACAGCAAGTATTCCAGCAAGACTAAAAGCTTTAATTCTGCAATTTATTATTATCTAGGAAAGAGAACAAAGCTGATGTATCTGCGTATTTATGATCTGAGAAGTGTGTGTGTGATTCTTCCAGGAGTATCTTTCTAACCCTTGAGTGACGAATCTGATTTTTTCCTTTTATTTTTTTTTTTTCCAGGCTGGATTTTTACTGCCTCCAAACTTAACTGTTTTAACACTAGGGAAAAGCCTCTGGCTTCTCCTTCACACACACACACAAAAATACATATATTTTCCTGCTAGAAACGAGCTGCACCTCACCCACATGACTGGTCTTCACTATTAATCCCAGCTGATGGCAGGGAGGGGCTCTTGTGGGAGGCAGCCATGTGGTGAACATTGAGCACAGTGTTCTTCCCCTGCTCCTCTCCTTTCCAGACAAGCCAAATTGTTTCTGTGCCGCCGTGGATGTGAAGTTTCCCCCCTCCTCCTGCCACTGCCTCTGCCTCTTCTCCTCCCCAAACTCCCCCCGGGGCCTGAATCAGCAGCTGCAGAGCCCGAAAAGCTCTGCCCGGATCTGCAGATGGAATATGGACAAGGAGATGGATAGCAGGAGGGGAGAAGGAGTGAAGTTGGTTATTTTTCTGGCACATGGATGCAATTACGCTCCGTGCATTCCAGAGGCGTTCCTTTGAATCCTGGGCAGGTTCTGCCTGCCGTTCCTGGGAGAAAGGAAGGAAAAAAGGGGAGGAAAAGTCCCTCTGGCTTGGAGGCGGAATGTCTGCACTTCCAATTCTCTTCTTAGGTAGGTTTTGGTCGGTTTTCTATAACCAAACTTCCACGGGTCTGCTCTGTGGGACTTGAAATTCGTCTCTGGCGAGCTGGGGAGAGGGGTTTGTAAGGAAAAAACTTTCATGGAAAACTGTAATTTCAGCGGTGTTCGGGTTCTGATGCTTTCCTTGTCGCTTCAGTAGCAGGTTGATCAGCAGAGATCTCCTAATATCTGGATTAATTTTAAAACTGGTGGTTAAACAGACTCATTTTGGAACGTGTGTCTCTCGTTTTTGCTTTTCAGCCATAAACTAGTGAGGGGCTTGAGCCTCTCTGGCAGAAAAAGGTGAACAAAATGTCTTTGTTTCGGGCGTAGTGTCAAATTTGTGTAACTGTTTGGATTTGCTCGGGCACTCAGCTTTCAGATTTTTTTTTTTAAAATGAAAAGGGGTTATTGTTTCCAATGGATGGTTAAGATTAGAAACAGATGTGTTGAAGTGCAAGAGGGAGGAGGAGTTGGGGGAGAAAAGGATGGGAGAAGGGACATAAAGGGGGGAAGGCAAGGGAAGGGAAGAGAGAGAGGTCTGCTGAAAGAAGGGAAAGGAGAGAGGTGGAGGCTGATTGAGCAGGAGAGGAGTGGAAAATGGAACAGGAGACCTTAAAGGAGAGTGAAGACACAAGAGCTGCTTGTTAAAGCCGCAGCCTGTGGGGAGAAGAGTTTGCAGGGGGGGTTTTTCTCCCAGCCTGGGTTTGTGCAGCTCCAGAGGCACCGGGAGGTGATGAGTGAGCCCCTGTCTCCACTCTGCTCCCCACACCCTGCTGACAGCCCCTCAGCTCCCACATCTGCCCTGCCCGGGCAAAGGCTGGGAATTCCTGATCTTCCCGGGGACCTGGATGCAGGTGTGAGAAAGTGGGCTGGTCCTTGATTCCCTGGGAGGAGCTGAGCCCCAAGGGATGCTGGATTTCTGTGGCTGGGCACGGGCAGAGCAGGGGGTTTGAACAGCCAGAAAGAAAAAGTTTCAGGGCCGGCCCAGTTCTTTCAGTCTCAGGTGTGGAATGTGAACCAGAGAGATTTTAAATTTTTTTTTTTTTTTAATTCATCTGAAATACATTCCCATATGTTGAATGCTCGGAGCAAAAGGAATAAACTGCTACCACAGAGGAGGTGTGGGTGTGGCTGTAATGTAGTGACAACTTCCCTTTGCTGCTTTTATTTGTGAAACACGATGGGCTTTATTGTTTTATCTCTGCCATCTGGGCATCTCCAGCACGGCAGGGACACAGGGATGCAGAACAAAAGGCAGCTGATGCCTCACCTGAGTCAGGTTTCTCAGCCTCTCTCTGGGAGTGGTCCAAGCACTGGACAGAGCAAAACCCGGAATATTCTGTTTCCTGATCCTACATTGGTCATTGAATTGTCCTTTTCCTCCCTCTGCTTTCCCTTTGCCTTTTCAACAGGTAACTTGGTCTGTGTGCAGCTTCATTCCCCAATATCAGAAGCACGCTCCAGGGAAAAGGAGGGAAGTGCAGTGCTTCCCTGTTCCTGGATCACCCTGAGTGCAAGGAGACTGGGGAAACTCATTTCCCAACTGGGGAAAGTCTATCAGCACAAAAAACAACGTCATCCTTGGCACTTCTATACCATTTTAACTGCAGAAAATCCATAAAAGCCAAAGGTTAGAGTGGGGGGAAAAGTTTTTAGAGAAACCTTGACAGTAGGGCTGCCTGGTTTGGGGTTTCATTATTAAACATACCAAGAGCATGGCTAATATACACAGTCCTTTACACTGTTTACCTCTCTGGGGCACGTGAGCAGCTGTGTGGGGAGACAGGAAACAGGAGGCAATTTGTTTTAAGGAGACTTTTAAAATGAGACAAGATGAAAAGACTCTTCTAAGTGTAGACAAGATGCTCTCTGCCAGTAAAGGCTGGGTGAATGAGGCAGGAGGGAACGAGGAGTGGAAGTTGGTGCATGTTACTATGTCTGTCTACCTGTGTGTGACACCTGATTCTCATCTTGGGTCAAAATTGTTTCAAGCACCACTGCAAATCAAAACTGATTTGATTTTTGAACATCAAAATGGAAATTTCCGAGAGAAATATCTGTGATTCTTTACTTAAGAGCGGAAAAACTTCATAATAGAATGTTGTGTAAAAAAAAAAAAAAAGTAACAAATGCTTTAATTTAAAAGTTTTACTGAATTGGTTTAAATTTTCGGGGGTGGGAAATCTCTGCTTTCTTTCACCAAGTCCATCATGAATATTTTTAAGGAGCCCTCCATTCAAGTAAAAATCTAATTTTTAGAATCAAACATGGGGGCGATGGCTTTGATGATGGCTTTGACACTGGTTTTGTGCTTTTTCTTCACTTGCTGTGTCTGGTGTGTGTGCGCTCTGCCCTCCAGAAACCCATGGATTTAGGATTCAGAGCAGCAGATGTGCCAAACTTGATCAGTCCCCCAGCTTTCTGGTGCCCAGCTGTTGGCACTGAACCTCTGTGTTGATGTTAAGGGTCGCTCACCCCGGTGCGTGTGATGGTTGGCTGAGCCAGATGTGCTGAACTGGGGGGTTGTGCTGGTCTTCTCTCCCTAAATCCTTGCAGTCCTGTGCCCCAGCAAAGCCAAGAAACACTGCAATATTGTGGTGGTTTTTTTTAAAAAAAAGCACTCCTGCTCTCAGTGAGGTCCCTGAGACCAAACCAGTCACCCAGCTCTGCTGTCCTGCTGTTGGCACTGAACCTTCACATTGGTGTTGAGAGTTGTCTGACTCAGATGTGCTGAACTGGTGGTGGTGGTGGGGGGTTTCTACTGGTGTAACTGGGGCGGGAGAGCAGAAATCCCTGGTGTGCAGATGGAGCTGAGCTTCGCCCTCCGAGCCTGGAGGTCGAGGAGTGTCTTACAGCCCTGCCCGGGGGGGCTGCACTGAACCCCCACACTGTGATTGTCTCACTGCACCGGCAGAAAGGTCACGGTGCAGATCCCTCTGGGCGCCTCTTGGCGTGAGGAATCGGCTCTGACAGCCCAGGTATCCACCAGACTCGGAGCCCGGAGGATCCGAGCGGATCCGGGAGCGGCTGGGCAGGTCAGCCCGGGGCTGTGCTCTGCTCGATGGGTCGGGTTTCTCTCCTGAGAGACAGCGAGTCTCACCTCCCTGAGATCCTTCCCCCTAAATCCTCGCCGTCCTGAGCCCCAGCAAAGCCAAGAAACGTTGCAGTGTTAGGTTTTTTCCTAAAAGAAAGACAAACCACTCCTGCTCTCAGTGAACAAAGCTTATGGATCCTTATATTTGCTGATTTTCCAGCTGTTTTCAAAATTTCCCAGTGGTAACCTATATATAATAATATGCAATATAGAGGTTAGTGTATATATAGAATAGTATATAATACACTTGCTGTTTTCTAGTCTTCCCTGGCTCCTTCTCCTGCCTTTTGTCTTGTTTCACGGTGTGCTTAGAAGCTTGGTGGGACAAGGGTTTTGCCCTGTGTTTTTGCAGCACTTTGCAAAAACAAAGCCTTGGCTCGGGAGTGGAGTACAAACCCAAAATATTTGTGCTGTGAAAAGAGTTTTGTTGTTTGTTTGTTTGTTTGTTTGCTTTTCTCTTTGGATCTCATGCCCTCTTTGTGTCACTGGATTCTGAGGGAATGCAGGTAACTACATGCTGTATTTAGCTCCAAAAACTTTTCACAAGGCCAGAGCATCATATAAGTGTTAATTGGTGAAAGTTTATGACATAAAATCCAAAACCAAAAAACAAAACACCAACTTTATTCAAGATTCAGCCTGTTACAATAGTGTGAACTTAATTCTAAGACAGGGCAAAGAGCTCTTTATTATAACACTACTCTGGGAATACCTAAGGAAAGGAATTAAGAGAATTAATGTATCCCTTTGGGAGCATTCAAAGGAGACAGAAACAATTGTGAGTTGCTCCCTGGCACAGCATTAGGGTTAACACTCCTTGTGAGACACTCAAATTCTTCTAAAGCCAGGGGTGGTTTGCATCAAATATTTTTCTGTCAGGACACTCAATGAAAAATGGTCTGTTTTCCTCCAGCAGTGCTTTGTTTTATACGGAATACTTTGGATTTTTAACGTTAGAAAAAGTTTATTTTGGGGGTTATTTTTATCCTTTCTGCTTTTTCCATTTTACCCTGAGGAAGAAGGGGGGGGGGGGGAAGTAACCTGGCAGAGTGAGGAAAAGCAGGATGCCAGAACAGAGCCAGAATTGGGAAGATGAATTTATTTTATGGGAAACAGTTTGAGGGAGGGCAACTTTTCTGAACTTCCCGTGGAAAACAAGTGGGGTTTTGCCCCTGGTGGGTCTGTTCTGGGGGGTGCTCTGGGCCACTTTGTGCCAGAGCAGCACAAGCTTTCCCAGGAATGCCACTGCACAAGTGGCTCGGGGACATCCTGGTGTTTATCCTCGGGATCACAACAAAAGCCTCAGTTTTCCTCCAGGCAAACCCGGGGCTTTGCAGGGTGGGATTTGGTTGGAGTTTTCAGAGCTGCCTGAAGGGAAAAGTGTGAGCAGTCACTGTGAGAGCCCTGAGTGTCTTTGGAACATCTTTTGTGTCCAAGTCTTTGCTACACTGGGCTAAATGATAGTGTGTGTGTGTAGAGGACCAAGAAAATGGGGTGCTGGAAGCTGCTTTCTGTGCCTTTCCCCCACAGCTTTAGTCAAACTATATCTTTTATTTCTAACCACTTCAGTGTTTGTGGGGGTTTTTTTTGCATTTAACACACTTGAGGGAAAGCCTGGCTGAGGTGCACATGATATTCTGAATATCTCGGGCACTGATGTGTTAAAAAGAGGCTGCTCTGGGTGCAGGGGGAATTTGGTGGTGTCCTGTTAAAAAGATGAATGGGTGTCTCTATTTTTTCTTCCCCAGGGAAAACTGTTTCTTCATCTGTTTTTAGGAATGGTTGGTTTGCAGAAGCAGCCCAGCAAAAAGTCAAGGGTGAAGTCAGGTCAGTGAGGTCTGGGAATAGCAACTCAAATGACGGGAAGGTGGAGGATGCAGGAAGCACAACAATG